AAGCGGCCAGTGCTCAATAGCTCTACATGCATTAGCACGACAGGGCAAGTGGAAGGAAGGAAGAGAAGTCGAATTTCTTACAAAAACAACTCAGGGCTGACACAGAGGTTAAACACTGCAGTGAGGGCAGCACACATCCAATATGGCAAAAATCTCTCCCCCCAAAACAAAACACTGTGCAGAGGGAACCGCATCCCATGTGGCCAACCATGGTTCAATGCCAGCCTTGGCGACTTGAAAATCATGCCATGTATTTCATGTTAGGTAAATTCTCTCTACAAGCCAAATGATGTATAGTGATTGAATGTTAAAAAATAAAATGCAAATAAAGAAATAATCTGAAAAAAAAAGAAAGCTATTTGATGATGATGATGTGGATAGTAATGTCTTTGTCTTGACTGATATGCATGGTAATCATGCTGGAAAAAGAAATGTTAGACACTGTAAAGACATATGTATTTAAAGGTGATATTAAAAAATATTGGCAATGGATTCAAGCATTAAGAAACAAAGAAAAATTAAAAAGTTACTGATTAAAAAAAGAAAAACATACCATTTTCCTGTGTATATCCAGGATCCTGAGAGGAGAGAGAAATGGAGAAAACAAATCAAAACAAAACAAAAACAAAACTGCAGTGTGATGAGGTTCCACAGGGAATTGGAACCAGCAGATGGCATAATAGCTACATCTCTGGATTCCCATGTAGTTGATTGTGGTTCGAGTCCTGGACCTGGTGGCTTAAACTCATGCAAGGCTAGTGTGCATGCGTGCCCAAGATCCCAAGAGAAGAATGGAGGAGGATTGCGGGGTGGCCATCCCCCCAGGGGGTGATTTTTCACTTTCAGTCTCTTTGTCTTTCTGGCAAGTGCACGTGCCCTATAGCAAAAACCTTTTCCAAAAAAAAGGTTCCAAGGCGAATGCTCACTCACCCTCTCTAAGTACACAAACATGCATGCTCAGACACTGAATACAAATCAATGAAAACAATAATTCTGGTTAGGTTATCCTTAAACACTGGAAATTAAAATACAAAAAAGTCTAAAAAATTAAAAAAATTTTTAAATAATGAATTTTAAATGAAGCTAAAGATTTGAAAGAAACAAAACACAACTAGGTTGTAGTCTAAAATAGCTGAATGGAAAGAACAAATTCAACTAAAACAAAGGTTAAACAATTTTTGATCCAGAAGTTGCCAACCTAGGAAAAGCATAAGTAAAATCTGTGAAGCTGAAAATAAATGAGTAATTTAAAGGTGAGCGCAGGCCAGAGTAAAGGAAATCACCTACGGTTAACTTATGGTTCTTCTGCGGGCCATGGTCTCTGCCACCCTCGCCCTCCTCACGGGTGGCCTTTCTGGACCACAAACACCTACTACAATGAACAGCCCAGCCTGTGTGCACACCCATTCCTCCACCTTGATGAGTGAGTGACCCTACAGAAAGGATAGATAAGATTAAAACCTTCATTTTAAAAAAGAAGACAATCCGAATCCAGCAGGTAGCCTGGTAGTTGAGGCACTGGACTCCCACATGGCCAACCACGGTTCAAGTCCTGGACCTGGCAGCCTGCTTTATCACTTTCCCTCTCTCTCTCATTGGCTCTTCTGTGGTGAGTGTACATAACCGATAACAAATTTAAAAATAATAATAAATATTATTTTTAAAAGCAAATAATCTGTTCACCTGCTATGGGGCAAGTTTGTAAAGTATAGCCTTTAACAGAATTAATAAGGCTTGACCAGGCTCATCTCCTAGTCTACTGGCCAAGTATGACAAGGTCAATGTGTCAGCTGCTACCAGTTCTGGAAAATGTGGTTAGAGCCCCCAAGTTACCTGGATTCTGCTAGAGACAAATTCCTGACACATTCTAAACAAGACAAGGATAAAACCCACCATTGAATTTCCCATGGTGTGTGTGTTAAAAAAAAAAAAAAAAAAAAAAACCAACTTAAAGCAAATCTTTAGCTCAACATTATTTCAGATCTTTAAAAACGCACAATTCAGTGGACATGAGAAAGCTTTTTATTTATAAAAGGATTTCTAAGTGACTTCTGCACAGATATACTTTAATGACCTGCTTCTAGTTCTACAAATTACTAAATACCAGGGGATATTTTTTTAGGATGTCACAATCCAAACACACTATCATATTGCCTACCTAGCCTTCTCTTAGCTAGGATGCATTACTGTGTGTTAATTTAGTCCTTATTGTTTGGTAACTGCTCTGACTTACTCCAGCCCGTAAGCTGAAGGCTTCAGTAAGTATATCGGTACCTTAGCTGGTTCCTAAGCTCACAGCTTCTGTAAGCAACATGATTTTACCTTTCCTTTAAAAAAAAAAAAAATCTTTCACTTTTAACCAAAGCTTACTGGCTCCCAGCCTCCAGTCTCTGCCTAATTCGTGGGCAGATAATTATCTAGTTAATGTGATACTAATTAAAATCAGACACTGCATAGGGGTATATTAAATAGGCTACAAGGCAGAACTTGTGAACGAAATTTTTATTTACACTGTATCTAGAAGCAGATACATAAATTCTTATACAATTAATTTCCAAAAATGTGCAAGAAATTACTATAATTTGTTTACAAACCAAAACACATATTAAAATCAATGGACTTTGGGTAATTCATTCTGTGGTGTTCTCAGTACAAATGGTAAACACCGATTTGAAACATACAGAAAAAGTGTAAACTACAGCAATCTGGATTGCAAGTATTAATTTCATGGCACTCCAACAACTATGAAATTTCCTTTACCTGACATGTATACTATTACAAAATTCTATAAGAATTTTTCATCACCTCTGGATATAGTTTGGATTTCTTTTCAGAAATAGCAACTATGCATTTCGCCATGTCATGATTAATAAAAAGGATGTTTATAAAAACCCTTCTTTACAGGATTAAAAAAGTAGTAAAAGAAACCAAATTTGCAATTACTAGCGTACCAATACTCTTAGAATTTTTATGGAACTGGCTGCTGTTCCTTATTAGAGTTTTCAACATGAATGTCTATTGCTGGTAGTGTGATTTTTATTTTCAAATTCAGACTTCACATTCGATGACAAGCAATTAAGATTTAAGCGAAAATATATTCTTTTGAATCATTCAGAAAGCAATCTCATATACCATTTGAAATGTAATTAAAATCAGCATTTCTGAAAGTACTGTTAGAAAGAGATTTAGACGTGTAACATGAGCAGAGACATCGCATAAACTTACTTAAGATTTTAGGAACTTTTATCCTGCTTCAATACTGGCTCAGACACTGTAATGTATACTCTTACTTGTTTATGCCAATGACTTAGTCTTTTGGCACATGATTTTCTGGGTTGCCCTGTGTAGCTGGTTTCCTTAAAATCTATTTTTAGTTCTGTGATCATTTCCTCTAATATTTTGGACCTTCTAAATTTTCAGATTATTGCACCAAGTAGAAAGAGAATGGTTTTCCCCATCATAGAAAGAGCGAGATGTTTTTCCAGTACTTTCTACAGCTTGATTACTTATAAAAATGCATAAGAGTGCCCCAGGAAGCCTGAAAACAGCTCTAGCCTCGACCACATTTTCTATTACGATATTTTATTTTAAGAACCAACCAATTCACTTATTGTGGCAAATGGTACAGCTTTCCTGTTTTCTTTTTCCTGCCTTAAACTCAGATTTTCAGAAGCACATATTTGAAAATCACTCACAGGCTGTGTCCCTATCATCTAAATTACCCTTCAATAGAATCCACAAATTTAACCAAATTGTACCTAGACCAAACGATAGGATGACGCTCTT